GTATCGGGAGATGGACACGGAGACAAACAAGACCTCCCTCATACTTGGAAGAATTTTTCTAAATAGTCGAAAAATTGAGCTTTCCATTCATATAGTGGCATCTGGCTTTTTTTTTACTTTATACTTTCATACTTTAAGTAGTTTTTGGAGCACATACTTTTCACTTTTACTTGAATAAAGAGGTCAAGTTGATACTTCAACTTTTATCAGAGTGTTTTTTAAACTGCAGCATCTATACTTCTACTTAAGTAACAAATGTGTGTACTTTTGACACCACTGTCTGGTTTTAAACAACCACTCTAAAGCACGAATATGACTCGCTTTATTTAGGCCTAGATGCTCTTGCCCTGCTGAGGAGCCTTTGCCCAAATTCTAAGTATTTTGTAGCCTCCAGTAGGTTTTTTTTTCTGATGGCAGAAATACCTTGCTTGTGGCAGAATCTTACATTTTTGCACTACTTCTTCACAGAGGCAAAACTGATCTTGTCAAAAGATTCTCCCACCTTGACTGTGCATCTCTGATTGAGGTTCTCCTTAGCCAAGCTATCAGTTTAGGTGGATGAATCATGTTTTTGTGGCTTTGAAGAATGTGGAACTTGATCAGTTTCAACAAATTTTATTCAGTGATTTCAAACTTTACATTCAGATTTCCTTTCAACAATTTAAGTATTGCTCACATTTCTTATATTTACAATATATACACACAGCCACACGTATGCATACACAACTGATTAGATCATGTGATCCTTCATAATGTGCTTGTACAAAAACACCAACAAACTCAGTAGAACATGTAATGTACCTTTCAAAATTCTAAGAATCCTACCAGTAGCATTTAGGTTGATCACATTCTTGAAAAAGCAGCTTGTAACTCATGACTTAAACCTTCGCAGAAATGAGTTGCTCATTAGAATTAAAGATCATTGGCTGACAGTATTGCCGCTGTCCACTCTGTTGTTGATAAATAACAAAAAAAATACATTTTTAGGAGCAAAGGATAATCTCTTAGACAATACATTTAAATAAATATTTAAATAATGCCTCTCGCCCTCTTAGTTTATGAGAACTTGACCTCTTATACTGGTGCTGACCTTGTTGACACATCGAACTAAAAGCGATCAAAACTTCATTGCAAAGGATTCAAAAGGCCACTTTTTGCATCATCAGATACAAAAAGATCCTTCAATTAAGATAAAATCTCACGACAACTGCAAGTGACTGAGCCTAACTACAGATTGTACTTCATTTGGTAGAAAAACATGTCTTCTTCAGAACATTGAATTATAAAAAAAACAGGAGGTGATCTTGAAAAATCACAAATGGAGTGTTTATGAACCCTGTGAACAACAGATAAATCCAAAGAAACAGCTAACTTCAAAAGTAACATCACATTCCTGTCTCCATGAAGTCAAAGTTAAATAACAATAATAAAAAAAACAACAAATAAACAGATAAGATCTGTCAGCCAAAGATTTAGGGAGGTAAAGGAGACGAAGAAGGAAGTGGAGTGAGAATGGGAAATAGGAGTGAGAACAGGAAGCAGGAGTGAGAACGGGAAACGAGGTGGATTTTGGTTTCAATTGGAACAACAAAAAAAGAAACTAGTGGAACATCTTAGTAAACAACATATCTTTGGAAAAACATTTCCTCATTTAACAATGAATGAGAAAAAATAAAGGCTTTTCTGACAGTTTGGCTCCATGGTGATGAAACAATGTTCTTTTGGGTTCTTATACAAACGTTTCGCTGTAGTTGAACTCTGGAAAATGTAAAACTAAATACTGTGGCCACTAGAGGGCAACCCAAACCTACTTAAGTTGTGGTACAAAGCAGGTTAATGCTGGTGAAAAGGCAGCTGTGTTGGTCTCGTGTTTATCAGTCCTGACAGGCGTCCAAAGCAGTTGCTACACGCTGCTTCCCAATTCTGACGATTCTGATTCCGAGTCCCTGTTAGGAAGCAGAAAAACAAGCTGAAGTCAGACACCAAATATGCAGAAAAAGCTAAAATACATTTTTATGGTGCTACATGACGTTATTCCTCACTTACAACAAATCCTCCAGGAGTTTGCGGTTGCCTTGCCTCCTTTCCTCGTCGATGGGGTAGGTCCAGATCACTAAAAGTCCGATGATAATGAGGACGATGGGCACAGGAGAGACCAGGACCTTCAGGGTTAAACTGACTGCCTCAGGCTGGACACAGCCGCCGGTTACATACCCAGCAAATCTACAAAAATATGCAGCAAAAAGGTGAAAAAGTTGAGCTGATGTCAGTTAACTTCAACTTCATCAAGGATTATATGAGCGCATGACGGCTGGAGTATATGGAAGCAATCGTTACAATATTTGAATGTGGTTGCATTGTTTGACTCATAAATGAAATTAGTAATCAATCATCCTGTTTACATTTTCTTCTTCAACACCGCTCATCCTTTTACTTAATTAAAATTAAAAAGAAAAAGACAGTTAAGATTTATTTTTCAAAATGTACCACAGCAAATACATACCAAAATTCAATTTGAAATGAAAAAGCATTTCTGGAAATGCTTTTTCATTTTAAGAATGTGGCTGCATTGTTTGGCTCATAAATGAAATTAGTAATCAATCATCCTATTTGCATTTTTATTTTCTTCTTTAAGACTGCACAATTTATGCCATAATCAAAGAGAAAACACAGCGGACATTGCTTTTTAATTAAGTAAAAGGATGAGCAGTGTTGACGAAGAAAATTAAAATGCAAATATGATGATTGATTACTAATTTCATTTATGAGCCAAACAATGCAGCCACATTCTTAAAATTGAAAAAGCATTTCAAGAAATGCTTTTTCATTTTCAAATTTTACATTTCAAATTGAATTTTGGTATGTATTTGCTGGGGTACATTTTGAAAAATAAATCTCAAATGTCTTTTTCTTTTTCATTTTAATTAAGTAAAATGAGCGGCGTTAAAGAAGAAAATGAAAATGCAAACAGGATGATTGATTACTAATTTCATTTATGAGCCAAACAATGCAGCCACATTCTTAAAATGAAAAAGGATTCCTGAAAATGCTTTTTTTCATTTTAAATATGGTAACGATTTGCTTCCACAGGAGTCGAGTTGTAGAGTCCTGCAGAAGTATTCGTACCTTTTCACATTTTAGCATTTGTTACAGCTAACAAACTCAGCATGTTTGAAGGGATTTATGTGACAAACCAACCCAGAGTAGTGCACAACTGTGAAGTGAAAGAAAACTAACGCATGCTATTCAAAAGCATATTTGTTTATTTTTAAGCTGCTGCTTTGAAATAAAATCTAAAGCAAACAGCCTTTGGGAGTCATTTGGTTTGTAAATCGAGGCTCGTAAATTCATGTATATATCCACCTGAACAGGAAACGCAGAAAATAGGTCAGAGGAGAAAGTTATGGAGGAGTTTGAAGTAGGGTTAGTTAATATAGCAGTGATCAGTCACAACCTTAAAAAAAACAAAAAAAAACAGGCCTTTATGGAAAAGTGGTAAACAGTAAACCGCAAGAGACTCGGTTTAATTTCTTTCCTCATGTTTTGTTGGAGATAATTGGAAAAAGATGGGGTAGGGTTAGGGTTAGCCCTCCAGTCAGATGAGACCTAAATTAGTTTTTTTAGGCCAAAAAAAATCACTCTGAAAACATCAACGCTGCTCTGAAACATGGAGGTTGAAGCATCATGCTTTGGCAATGCAATTTTGAAACAGAAACTGGGAAGCTGGGCAGAGTATATAGGAAGGTGAACTGAGCAAAATGCAGGGCAACCCTGGGGGATAATGACATAAAGGTGAAATTTCACC